ATCTCGATTCAGAGCAACGTCTTCACGCAGCCAAAGTTATTAAGAGGTATGATAGGTTGTGGTTTTGATTTTCAGCTACGATCAAAAACCAATTCATATCATAGCGTCATTAGTTTTCGGGATCATCCACTTGGTACAAACAAGCCGCTTTTCAAAAATGGAATCTTTATTGATATTATCTGTTTATCGGGAATTTAGATTCATTATGCACGCTAAGAAGACTGCTTTCGTTGTGGAGCACGATTTCATTATGGCAACTTACCTCGCCGACCGCGTCATTGTCTTCGACGGAGAGCCATCTGTGCATGCTACGGCCCGAAAGTATGTTACTCTTCTTGACGGACCTGCAGTAGAGAGCGCAAGAGTGATTTGTAAATTCTTTTTCAACACTAATTTCTAAATTCCAGGCCCCAAAATTTACAAGAAGGGATGAATCGATTTTTGAAAATGCTCGAGATCACATTCCGCCGTGATAATGAGTCGTATCGGCCAAGAATAAACAAGAAGGATTCAATAAAAGATATGGAGCAGAAGAAAAGTGGACAGTTCTTTTTCATGGATGAGGCTTAGGTACATTGTTGACTAGTACGTTTTGGTTGACGCTTCTACATTCTTTTCAAGCCCCTCATGCTTGTTAGACTTTACCTGATCATTGTTTTCAATGACTTAATTTTCTCGTTGATTTCTATTTTTTGACTCGTACTTTCTTGTTGGCCGAGGGCTATCTGTAAAGATGTTGGACATTGCCTTTCTTTGCTGCGGTGGATCTGCAAGTCTATGGTTAGTAGGTTTGTTTCATCTTGGATCACTTTGGAGAGGAGGTATAGCTTGTGTCGTCAAGTGGGTTTCCCCTTGAGAGATGTGGAATTACATTTGTCTTGAATATTAAGTAAAAAGTGGGTTGGCAGCAGAAACTTACTGTAAGAGGCGAGATTGGTAGCATAAGCTTAGGAAAATCTTCAGTATGGCTTATATTTTGGGGAAGCGCTCTCTGGAATATTGTCTGTTTTCTGCTCTTAGTCACAACACAAACAACGTTATATCCGTAATTTGAGCGCCACGACAACCAGAAACTAGTAGAATTGATGTTGAAAATCTTTGGTTGGATTTGCTATTGTGATAGGTTTTTTTCATATTTATTTGTGCTTGATAAACTATGGGAATAAC